CGCCCGCCGCCCTCGCCGCCGCCCTTCCCGCCGGGCAAGGCCCCGACCCCGCCGCCGTCGCCGCCACCCACCCCGCCCGGCAAGGCGCCCACGCCGCCGCCGTCGCCGCCCTTCCCGCCCGGCCTCGCCCCCACGCCGCCGCCTCTGCCGCCGCCCTATCCGCCCGGCAAGGCACCGACGCCGCCCCCGTCGCCGCCGCCCTTCCCGCCCGGCGCGACGCCGCTGCCTCCGCCGTCGCCGTCGCCCTTCCCGCCAGGCAAGGCTCCCCGCCCGCCGCCCTCGCCGCCGCCCTTCCCGCCGGGCAAGGCCCCGACCCCGCCGCCGTCGCCGCCACCCACCCCGCCCGGCAAGGCGCCCACGCCGCCGCCGTCGCCGCCTTTCCCGCCCGGCCTCGCCCCCACGCCGCCGCCTCTGCCGCCGCCCTATCCGCCCGGCAAGGATGTCGTTGTTGACCTCGGCGGTGCTACCGCACCTACATGCATCCCCGTACCGTCCTCAGCAGAGAAGGTCAGGGTGTCGGGGACACAAGCGCCGCGCAGGACGCACGACCAGACCACGCGACCGAAGGCGGTGACCGTCGCGGTCGCGGACGTCACTTCAATCAACGACCATGGCAGCGGCCGGCTGCCCTCGAAGGCCGGGGATCGACAGTCTCGCCTCGATCCGCTCGGCAGTCTCCTCCCATCTGCACCCGCTGTCGTCGTCGCTCCCCGGCAAACGCGAGGTAAGCTCACGACCGCTCGTCGCGATGCTGCTCCCACCCGCCAGGTCTGGCAGGGGAGGTGGACGACCGTGAAGAGTGTAGACGCGATCGATCCAGAGACATGGTCGATCCAAGACCCTCGCCCGCCCGCCCGCACTCCCCCCTGCATCCCACCTTTTTTCCCGCCTCCCCTTTCCGCCAGGGTTTCGCCAAGAACAAGCGCACCGCGCCCGCCGCACGGCCCGCCGCTCCGGCGGCGCCGCCTGCTCGGAGTTGTGCGCGCTCGCCCGCGCTCGCCCGCTCTTGGGGCCACGCAGAGAGCTGAGCGCGCTTGCCCCGCCCCCGTCCCGCGCAGTCGGCACGAGCGCGGCGGCCAAGCCGACGCCCCCCATGCCGCCGCCCAATCAGCCGGCCATGCCACCGGCGCAAGCCGCGCCCGCCATGCCTCCGGCGCAGTCGGGTGGGCCGGGCCTGATGGGCACGTTCGCCTCGTCGGCCGCGGGCTCGGTGGCGGGCTCGATGATCGGCAACGCGCTCATGGGCGGCATGGGCCGTGGCGGCGGCGAGGCGCCCCCGCAAGTCTCCGAGGCGGCGGCGGCGGCGCAGGCCAGAGAGCACCTTAGACGCTGTTCCCTCACATGAAGGCACAATCCTCTCGCTCTCTCTCTCTCTCACTCCAGCCCCCCCCCCCC